CACCATTGTCCTGACAACAGCTAATCAGTGTAGATTTTCAGCAGTAAGAAACCAGAAGTAAAAGCTGTTATCATACATAATGGGAATGTCTACAGGGCAGAACAGATGAACTGCTTTTAAGAAACATACTCACTGATGTGAAACCAAATCTGCATGCTGAATGTGCTACACAAAAAGGGAGATATTCCCTAACGTTTTCATTGGCTGACTGCAATGATCTAAACCACCCAAAAGCCTTTATCAGAGATCCGTAGCAAAATATAGATTTATGCTCTACTGTTTGTATCTGACTGCCTGTTAGCTCCTCTGAAAGCATGAAATGACAGTTAAGAATGGTACAATTATATCTTTTACATGCACTAACCCTCCCCTCCCCCCCCCAAAAAAACCCCTCTTGGAACTTTTTCATTTGTAAATTGATAAAAATGGTTATTTCTCCACTGAATCAGTTTGCAAGCCACAGTAAGCCTGATAAGGTTGGCTTACTGTGGGCCAACCTGCACCCACATGATCTGCATTTGAGCAAACAGGGTTAATAAACCATGTGCAGGCTAGTTGGCCAGGTTTAACATTATGTAGGTCTCAGGGTTTTCCATTATTAAGACACCAGAAAACAAAACCATGAACAAACTAAGAACATTTGTTCTCATGTCTCTCTTGGGAGAACAAATCCAGAGTTCACGTTCAGTATTAATACTAAAGTTGGCTAACTAAGCCATGATTGGCTTATTAACACATCCACTATTAAATGAATTTGCTGCTGAGCCAATCTTGTTACTATTCTTTAATGTGTGCCAAATATTACCTAATATTGTGTATCCAATCATGAAATTCCATTTGTACAAAGCTTCTGCTATTGGTAGAATGCATTTCCATTTTTCCACCAGTGTCAAATCCAATTCATGGAAACCCCTTCCATAATCTTCAAAACTGTATTAATCTGGATATTGTTTGAACTAGATGTTCTACTAATGGTTATGCAAAAAGCAAGGAAGGGAAAAGACCTCTTTCCCCCATTTTTCACAACCATAATGGTAAATGCAAATACCTGCAAACAGAAGTGCTGTAAAACCACATCATGTTGGGCTAGTATGTGCAAGGTTTGAGAGGAAAGGATTGTGTGGTTTTTCAAGTGAATATATTTCTACATACATCTCTTGGATGGAGACTTACTGAGAAATTATTCTTTGCTTAATTGGAAAGTAAAACTAGACAGTTTCTTTATCTGCATTTAATGGCGTCATTTCTCTAATGATATCACATCTGCCATCAAAATTTACTATTTCCTGCCCTCTCCATGCTGCCCCCCAAAAGGTTCCAGGTTCCAAAGAGGCAGTTTGGGGGGAAATGTACATATGTTATTTGGGGGGGAGGGGGTGCACAGCCCAGATTTTTTTGCATAATGCTGGATGTAGCTCCTTATCAAGAGTCACAAATTCTACACTCCTTGTTTCTTCCCCCTCCCTTATGCTGTCTCTTCCAGGTGTCCCTAGCAAAAACCAAACCTGACAAGAAAATACAGCCTTTTGCAAATGAGTAGAAAAGTTGCATATGCTGAGCAGTATCATTACAGAATGCTAGTTTCCATGCAAAGTCTAAACTCTTTCTAAAATACAGACTACTTCTCTTAACGGCTATCGTGCAAGTTGAACTAGTTTTTTCACTCTTAACATTTCAGCAAGCATCTCTTCTTTCACTGTACCGTGACCAACCCCTCTGGCTATTTTGTTTCAGAAATACTATTTTCAATCATAGAATTGGAAGGATCCACCTAGGCCAATCCCCTGCTTACGTCTGGAATCCAAATTAAAGCGTCCCAGACAGAGTGTGATTTAGCCTCTGCTTGAGCAGATCCAGTAAAGGGGAAACAATCACCTCTCTGGGCAATTGGTTCCATTGTGAACTGCTTCTACTTTTAGGAAGGTTTTTTTTTTTCCAGTTTTCAATCAGAATCTGTTTTCCTTTATCATGAATCCATTAATCTGTGTCCTGCACTCCAGAATTAAAGAGAGCAGGTCTTGGCTTTCTTCCTAAGTTTCCTCAGGACTCAAAACTCAATTTTGCAGTTCTGAAAACACTCCTGTACAACATAATTGTAAAGGTCTTTACTATATCCAATCTCTCCTGCTTTTTAGAATTTGTACAAAACTACTGAATTACCAAGCAGTTAATGAACAGAGGGTAAGAGGACAGAACTATTTCAAATCTTTTCCCGCAGATAAAATACAGGATAGGGGGAGGTGAAGGATTAACATTTACAATAAACTTCACCACAGGTTAGGAGCTTAAACTCAAAAGGCTGCCACATATGGCCCCCTAAAAGGTACTAATATTTTAGTCATGACAGAGATGTGATTAAGAAACTCAACAAATGCACTGTAAGATCCAGTTCTCAGTCAAGTATTTGTAGAATCTATATAAAATGTCAACCTCTTTGGAAGAAAAAGGAGCTGTTCCCTACACAAACCTTTGACTTGTTTACAGAACTGCACAATTCTGTCTTAAGATACCTGACCAGAAAATGTGGATGCATTATGTGTTAATTGTTAGATAAACAAGTTAAAAATACACACATGGTGTTTAAATATAAGAAATAATCTCATCCCTAACAAAGTGGATTATTTGCTCTAATCATATGACTATTAAAAGGCTTTAGAGAGAGCTGCTAAATTTGACTTATGAATCAGTCTCTCTGCTTCAAGAGATTTAGCTTGGATCTTTTTATCAGAATTGACATTGGGGAAAATGCACATGACAGAAACGTTGGGGAGACTAAAAACAGCAAAAACACCAGCAGCAAGGCTTTAATATCAGAAAATGGGACAGAGCCCAACTGCATGCATCTTTAGTTGTATGCATACAATATAATGGGAGTTACTTGCATTGCGACTGTGGCCTTAAATATAAGGTTGTGTAAACAATTGTAAAGGATTATTTGGCTCTGAGTTCAATAATTATGACTTGCCACTAAAGGAGAGTGACTGGAGCAATTGACAGGCCTCTGCTTTCACTCAGAAGCAGAATGGATTCTTTGTGTGACTGGAAAACACAGAAATAGATACTATCTTGGCATATCCAAGCTATTCAGATTCCAGAGTACAATACAATGACCTGATACACTGACTATACATGAAATGGGCTACTGGAATGTGTATTCCATTGTTTACTAATGTTCAACCACTACTTACTATTCAACGCTCCCATCATTATTTTTAACACACAGTTCACAGTAGCCAAATACATTTGCCATCAAGGGTACCTTGAACAAGAGAACATCAGCCAAACGTGGCTCACAGAAAGGTTGAAATACCAGTGGATTTTTCATTTCATTATCCATAACAGATAAACATACTTCAAGCCTGTTTTCCTCTTCCCTTTTGTCTTGATTACTTTATATTTTGTCTTAATCAGATGAACTTATCCTTTAACTAAGACAAATGAGGTATTTTCAAATTTTCTTCACTCTTTAGAATCTATCTATCTATCTATCTATCTATCTATCTATCTATCTATCTATCTATCTATCTATCTATCTAATTTGGCCTCACCTTTCCAACCAGGGGGGATTCAAAGCAGCGGTCACTGGAAACAAGGCTTTTTCTGTTGATGTGTCCAAAATGGGAAACTCCCCCATTCTGCAGCACATTTGCCAAGAACCATTATGCAGTTCTCAAAATACTTTTAAAGGTTCCACTGCTGATTTCTATGTCTCTAGTCCTCCATATAAAAGCTACAATGCAGTCATAAAAAATTGGTTTTTGCCTCATATTTTTTCCATAGCCCTATTTTCTTTCTTCCTTCCTCTAGCTCTTGAGATTCTTCCCTTTATTCCAGACTGTTCATATCCATTTGTCATTTCATAGAGAGCAACTGCAGTTCCTGTTGCTCAGCTTGGAATGCACACATCTAGTCTGAGATGCTTTACTTCAGTTTTTATTACTTCCCACATGTAATGCAAGACTAAAGTGTGCTAACATGCTAACCTGTGATTCACTTCCAGGGGTGTTCTCCCTCAGCTGATGACTTGTATCAAGTAAAATCAGCTAACTTCCCTTCCCTCTCCTCTTTCACACAGCCCACCTCCCTTCTTCCTGAGAAAAACAATTCATGAGAATAAAGTGGACAGCTAGCAATCTAATTAAAATACACCTTTCAGACTAATCAAACAAGTTTTATCTAAAGAAGAGTAAGTCTTGTTTCACACACAAACACACCCAGTTTTTTCTTTACCAATCAGATACGCTGCTTCCTCAAGCAAACAGCACTTAAACTACAGCTTCTCCCATGTGGACAACAGCAGGAATAATGAAAACACAAAGGGAGCAATATGTAGCCCAAAGGCTCATTCTTGATCCAACCATAGTTGACTGGATCTGAAGAAGGGCAGAATCAGAGATATGAGATGTTATCATGCAAGATGTTTCTCAATGAAGCTTCTTTTAAAAATTAATTTAAGTAGATATCATGAATAATTTTAAAACCTAAATTAAGGCTATATTTCTTAATATTCCATCTAAGATAATCAAATGAGCAATTCTTTTCATGTAATTGCTGCTGGTGTTTTTATTATGCCATTTGCATTCAACTATCACTAGATTCATTCCTTCATGATAAAGCTGAGCAAACAATATTCAAATGCTACAAAGAAGGTGAGACTGACATCATGATCCAAGGATTAAATCAAAGGAATCCAGAGATGTTTCAGTTGACAATCACGTGCTGTCAGAAGTATGGGGAGAGGGAAACTGCCATTCACATACACATATTAATCTTGTATACTGAAACAAAATGAAACAAGATGGAACCCACTGCACTTTATACAATGTTAGGTTATATAACAAGGAAAAAAGCACATTAATAATTCAAGATTTCAAATAATTCAGCAAATCTCAAGCCAGTATTAAGTGCCATTACAGCAGAAACAGGAAAAAAATAAAAAAATAACATCCATTTATCATAAAGAATCTCACTGAAGGCTATAATGCTGATTAAATGCTTACCTTTTCTCTGAATAAAAATCCGAAGCAAAGGATTAGCAGTAGAGACTGCTTTGTGGTAGTTGTCATCATTATTGATTGGTAGGAGATCTCCGTGAATGTCTGTATAACCAACTAAGACATCGACATTGGGTATTTTGTGAACATGCTGAAGTAATCCATAGAATTCCTCAAATTTGCCAGGTTTTGACCTTTCCAAAGAAAACCGTCGGAACTCTGCACCGAACTATAAAAATCAGAAAACATTGGTAACAATCAGACAATAGAAAATGTATGCATCAAAATAATGTATAAAAATCGAGATGTCAAATATACTGTAAGGATTGCACCCAAGATAAGAAAATGAAAGCTCATGTCCCCAATCATTTCTGAAATGTCTATATAGCTTTTCATTCCAGTATCCTCGTTCTTATTCACTGATGTTCCTTCTTATATCCGTCAGTGGCCTATACATGCCAAAACACTGCACATGCGGTATATAATGAATTCCCACTTAAAAACGCTATGCAATCCTACACGATCAAAAATATGGGATGAATTATTTTCCATTTCAGGCAAGTTTGTGAGTTTCAGTTATAAGTTATTTGCTTTTCAAGTGATTGATCTAAAATCTGAGAAGCTAAAACTACACTGCAATTGCATACATCTTAACTTTTTTGTCTATCCTAATCACAACAAGGAAAATAAAGCACAAAACAAAAACATACTTTTCCATCCCCCATCGAAACAAAAGCACACATTAAAGGAAAGGTCATCCACAATCATCCACTGAAATAAGATGGTCTTTGTAATGACTGATTGGTGGAACTGCCAGTCAAAACATGGCAAAATGGGGCAAGTGTTTTATTCCAGAAGGAGGGGGATACTGAGGAGGGAGGGGCGAAGGAACAGGAAGTCTGAGGAAGTCCCAATCTAGGAAAACCACTGGTCAGAGAGTCAAGGTTAGGAATATATTTATTGCCAGAGAAGACAATATATATTGTAATATTAAATGAACATGTTTATAAGTTATTTAATGAAAGCTAATTTGTTTTTTTTAATTAAATGTTAACAAAGTGATTGTGCTGTCTTATATCTTCCTCACGTTTCACCTAATCACGTTACCTCATCAATATAAAGAAAAGGGGGAAAAGACAGATCCTTTAGAGATTACCCAGAGTTCACTTTATTTTTGAAGAATAAAATGATAAGGACACCCACAACAGAGAAGAGGTTCATGGTAATCTTCAAAGCCTTTCAGAATGAGAACCAGTGCCAACTGTCTTTCAGAGGGCAATGTATCCTGGAGTGTGGGAACTATTAGCAAGAAGGTATGATGCCTAGCTTACAATCCCTGCACCTCAGGCAACATCAGGATTCTCAGCAGGCCCTCTCTTGACTGGGCAGGCAGACTTACACTTGGCAAGGCAGTCCCTTCTATAACCCAGTGCCCTGCTTTACAGGAAATGAATGACCAGTCCCCTGAAATGGGCCCAGAAGCCTACTGGTGAACAGTGCAGTGACCTCAAGATAGTTGTAATTCTGCAGTAGCAAGTTTCCCCAGCTAACAGCCTTCTTACTGCATTCAGTACCACCTGCAGATTTCAAGCTGTCTTCAAAGGTGGCCCCACATAGAATAAGTTACAGTAATCCAATCATGTAGTGATCAGGGCATGAGTCAGAGTCTCAAAGGCAAGTTGGGCCATAACCAGTACACAAGCCAAAGCTGGGTGAAGATTCCTAAGCCATGGTTTCCATGTCTTGTTCCAGCAGGACCCATGAGTCTAGGAGTATCCCCAAGCCATGGACCAGCTGCTTCCAGGCTCAGAACCAGGCCTGGATTCACATCTTCCTTGACGCTGCTTCCTTTATCATGGTGGCCACTGTATTCTTCTTCCATTTCACTGCAATCCTCTGTGTGGATTGTGCTGCAAACACAATTCATCTATCATCAACTTTCTCACAGCCTGAAGACACTGGAAACTGTGTAGAGCCTTCCAGTTAGGCCCAAGTTCAGGAATGGTTTGCCACTTCTCTTCTCTGGAACGTTTTCACTATTACCTTGCTATCCACTCCTGACAGTCCCCTCACTTCTTCCAATCCATCTACATCTAGCACTTTCACCTTCACTAATCTTCCTAATGCCTTCTTCAGGTTCCTTGTCTCACACTGAAATCACACTGACTCAAACAGAAATCACGCTGGCTAAAAACTATCTACCTGGGCAGATATCTTTAAAAAGCCCAAAAACTTGATTTCCCAACATGGTTTCCAATATTCCATTTTTTTAAAATTAGCAAAGCTTTTGATTTCTTTAAATGTAATGTTCAAATCCCACATGATAGGCTAAAATGAATGTTTTCACTTCAAATAACGTAATCCAATTTTTTCTAGAAAAACCACTTCTATACAAAATGTCAAGCTACCTGTCTTCCCCATTCTCACCAGCCCCAAAATTCCTGTCATTCATATAAGATTTACATACAATAGTCAGTAACTTGAAAAACAGTAATTACAGCATAGCAAACAAATGCATCCGTACATTATCCTATGTAAATGTCTCTTTCCAACAGTATGAACCCACGAATGGTTTCTCTATCCCACACAATCTAACTATTCAGTAAGCATGCACAGCACTGCACAGTAAATCTCCTAAGCCATTTCCCTCTCGCAGGTTCTGCTGCAATTGAATTCTCCACCCTTTTCTGTTACAAAATGCTCCTCCGTATTCTCACTCAGTCAGTACGTAATCTGAAATTCATTTTGAAAGGAAATACTAAAGTACTTCCCCTGCATCCTTCTAAATCAGTACCTTCCTAGCTTTGGAAACTATTATCTAATAAGGAATGTGGCGGCAGCGCCCTCGGCTGTTGTTTACACCTGAATGGACAGGATGCTAGATTTTGTATTTCAGGCATCTCACCTACACAATTATGCAAGCGTATATATTAGGCACGCAAGTGAAAGAGGGAATTGTAAGTCTCCTTACTCAATGGTTTCAGCTGTGGATATTCCATAAACTGCACTCACTTTTCTCCACACTTCGTAATGCCTAGGTCAGAAATAGCAGCTGAAGGAAGATTCCAATAATATTTTCTACATTTGAGTTCAATCAATCAGTAGAGAAAGCCTAAAGATAAAGACATACTCTCAGCCCCGCTGACTGCATCAATGCAGTTTTTCTCAGCAGTAAAAGCACTTTGCCGCTGCCTTCTTCCAGGATTTTTTTCAACTTCTTCTCTGTCTAGTCTACCAATGTTTAAAAGCATGTCAAGATAATATGCTAAGCCTTTAAAACCAAAGTACTCAAAATGCAGAAAGAAAATACAAACCAACACCCCCCCCAACCTGCAGAAGTCAGAAGTTACTAATGAGCAGAAATTAACAGAAATTAGCATTTACAGCAGTAGAAAATAAAAGGAGTATATGCATGTTTGATCTTTTTTTAATTGAAGTTCAAGGGTACATGAATTTCAAATAACGTTTCAACCTGCTCAGCCTAAATTTTTAAGAAACTTGATGCATTTCCAACTTTGCAGAGGCCAGAATTTGGCTTAATTTATATAGAGGCTTACATGCAGACTTGCTGCTTGAGATTTTGGCTTAATCTTTGACAGCTTCCTGACCACCTTGATTTTACAAAACCATTTTATACAGTCACAGACAACAAGCATTAATTTGGACCTACAATTTTGCAGTCTATCTGCCCAGTACTTCAATTCGCTTCAAGAGAGCTTTGTTTCAGCTGAAACAGCAGATTTTTAATGCTGATCTGTAGAGAGATCTAAGCTCTAGTCCTTCTCTGTTTAGAATGGGCTTGTTTTCTGTAGCTATTATCTTGTTGCTATTTTATGTCCAACTCACAGAAAGCCTTTACTCTTGTTAGATTTCATGATTTGCCAATGCTGCTGCTGAAAGGGAGTTCAAACACACTCCATTTCAAGTGTCTTTGCTCCTGCCTGATGGAGGAAGTAGAATCAGTCTCACATCTGCTTTTTTTTTGTCCTTTCTGTATGACCAGGTGTGAGGTTTTAATAAGGACTCTGCTAATCAACAATGATGGAGCTCAGAAGAGATTCTTCTTCTTTGTAGCTAACAGGTCAATGGTGATTTCCAGAAGGGTCGCAAAATTTTACTCAATTATTATTCCTATCACTAGTTTAATACTATTGTTTACTACATTATCTCTTTTAACCTACTGTGCAGATTCTATGTTGGTGTACTTTTTAACAATAGTATGCATCTGTAAAAAAAGATTCTGAATTGAATTTAAATGCTAACAAATCTATAAGTCATATAAACAAAATTATTTTTCAAACGTCACTGCCTTATTAAAATGAACAGATTTTGAAGCTCCCATAATTGTGTTTCCAAATTCAGGTAACCCTTTCCAGTTCATTATTTGAAACACTGTGCAGCCTGACAGTGAACTTGGTACAAAAGGTATTACATATTAGAATTTGGATGTACATGGAAAATTTAGCTTCTTTACTGTAATGACTAAAAACTTGGTAGACTTTAAAAGTGACTCAGATTAAAACTTAGTTGATAAAGACAGTGGAATCAGTATGTCTTTCTTTTAAATTGATTGGTATTTCTTTATTCTTTATTATATTTATTTACATAGCTACCCATCTTACAAGTTGCGATTTTAGGTGGTGAACATAAGATTCAAAGGCAACAGAAGAAAACAAAAAAATAACAAAACACTACAACAACAACATAATGGCACCTAAGGAGAATCTAACCAAATCCATATAACAGTTATACTAAAAACAAAAACAGATCACACAGTTGGGCTCAACCAATTTCCAGACCCCCATGCGCAAGAGAACATCCAGGTCTTCAAAGATTTACAGAATGTCAGCAGGGTTAGGGTCAATTGAATCTCAGGGGACATGGTGTTCCAAAGGGCAGGCACAGGGAAGGCAAGCTTCCTGGTCCCACCAGATGGCACTATTTAAAAATGGGACCTGGAGCATGCCTACCTTGCCAGATCTAGTGGGATGGGCAGAGATAATCGGAGAAGGAGGTCCCACAAATAATCTGGCCTCATGAAGGTCTTTATAGGTGGTAACTATCACCTTGAATATTACCCAGAAGCCTATTTTGGGAGCCAGTGCAGCTTGCAGAGCAATGGTGCAACATAGGTATTCTGAGGGACACCCATAACTGTCTGCATCACCACATGCTGGACCAACTGCAGCTTCTGAGTGGTCTTTAAAGGCAGCTCCATACAGACCACGTTACAATACATAATCCATTCAGGAGATGACCAAGGCATGAGTGACTGTGAATAGCTCCTCCCAATCTCTGGAAAGGTCTCTGCTCACAGTATTGGTAGTCAACAATACTATGATGAATTCTGAACTTAGAACTAGTTGGGAAAACACTTACCACATATGGATGAACTGATCAAAGAAATAAAAAATAATCCCTGTGAAGTCATTTTTTATTATTAGATTTATATCTCAGCTTTATTTTGTATAACCAGGATGGCATGCATAATACTATTGCCTATTTTCACAACAACATTTTGAGCTTGACCAGGCTGAAAGAGGTCAGCCTCAATACTCCTCCACCTTGGCTTGTAAGACATTTAAATACATGGAGTTAATTTCAAACCATCTTCATTTCTATATAGCCTATTAAGCTTATATTATACAATAATCAAGCAGAACAGATAAGTCATGTTGTGTTGTCACACTGGGGCATCACAAAGTAAATTTAAAAACACTGCATGAGTAACATCCTTCAAATTGGTAGAATTGTAGGCTGCTTCCAAGTATTTACTCTGCAACATTTTTATTTATTTTTATTTATACGTCACATTTATATAGCCACCCATCTCACGCAAAGTGATTCTGGGCAGCATACAACAATTAAATAAAATAACAAGTGGATAAAAACAAGCATTTATGCTTTGTTCCCTCAATTTTCTAGGCATCCACATGATCCAATCCAATCTTGTTTAGAATTAATATTTGTATTAGGTGTGTGCTTATATCTAAGTCCAATGCAAGACCTATTTTCATCCCGTAACAACAATAACCTTGTGAGGTAGGTTGGACTAAGAGAAAGTGACTGGCCCAAAGTCACCTGGGGAGCTTCCATGGCTGAGGGAGAACTAAAACCTTCAGCACCATAACCAATGACCACATTGGTTTTTAGTTGTTTGTTAATGTATTTGTTTTTTGAGAATTGACACATTTTTCCAGATACCTGGAAGTCTTGATTTTTTTAATAGAGAAAATTGTACCTGCATTTATTATGACTCTTCCATCTTTTCAAAAGACATGTTTTGTTAGATTGCTTTGGAAGTTTGCTCCCTTAGCTTCTTCATTTTCTACTTGAATTATTACATTATATTGTCTTATCTCTCTTTGTGTTTCTTGTATTTATAAAATAATTACACACATACAGTACTTTTCTTCTCCTGGCCACATCAACATGCCATAGTTAAAGGATCAAGGGCAAGGTGAAAGATGAAACGGAGCAAGGTGATTATCTTCAGGTGCCATGCTTGTCCATGATAAAAGGTTGTCTTCAGTCTGTTCCACACCTTCAAGATTGTAAGTATAAAACATATTTGCAGTGCTAGACATCCTCTCAAAGTGCAAGTAGTGTTGAAGATGCAATCATGAAATAACTGCACTTGCTACACAGGCACAGAACATGGATGGAATATATTCTCCCTGACTGGAAACTGGTGCCAGTCAATTCTTTCTGATTTGGATTCTTCACGTATAGTGAATTTAATTCTTCATTATAGTGAATGGATGGAATTTAAAATGAAATCTTCTTCCTCAAAATCATCACCTGCTGAAGCTGCTGACCGTAATTGAGAATTCTCAGACTGTAAATTTTAGCACAACACGCAATGTATACATATGCAAAACAGACAGTTCTGTTTAAAAAAAATTTTTTACTTTATTCTACAAATATTTCCCATCTATTTTCATCAAGCTTCACTACAAATCATTAACAGATGTATACTTAAAGATGAAAACAGAGAGGAATAAGCTTTTAATACTCATATTGTTATTTATAATTAGAAAAAAACAAACATTAGAGCTTCATGAAATTTGGATTTTATGCCAAGTTTTCTATTTGCAGCAATACATACTCACACAAGAAAAGTGGCAATACAGGCACACATGAAATATCAATTGTTGTTCAGATAAAACTTGGAATTGCAGTTATTCCTTCATTTTCAGAAAGCTTTGAACTAGCAATAAAGAAATGCAGCCGGTACGCAAGTGGACTAATCATCTTAGTAAAAAGAAGGCTGACCTGTAGAATATAGGAGCTACAGGGAAGCTAGACTAGGAATGGATTAATATTTTAGGAGTGGTAAATCTCACTAGATACAGAAATATGGAAAAGAACAAGGATATGTGGACTGCACTTCATATTAAATCTAAAACACTGGATGCCAGGTAAAACATGCTTTGAGGATCACATTTGTTGCATATGTAAAAATTTAGCTAACTTCAATAAAAGGTTTTAAACTATAATCCATAGCAATTACTACCAAACCATAGTTTTTCATCTAACATTTAAGAGAAATGCCAAAGCACTTCACTGTATCCACTAATAGCTAACACGAAAGTAAATGAATGATAAAATGTTCTCTCCCAGTCAGGCTATAGTATGACACATCCTGTTACTCAAAATGTCATGTGTAGCACAGCGTACCTCTTTAATTTGTGGCATGACTATACAAATAATAAAAGGGCAGTTTAATCTACAGAAAAGTATACTTGGGTGTGTACACTAACAGAAGTTTAGAAATCACCCCAGGGTAACTATTTTGTACGGATACAATTCACTTATAGTTACAGCAAATGACAGGCCCTCTAAATATTCCAAAATCACCTAAGATGGAAATCAGTCCATGCTTTTTTTTAAAAAGAATCCATTTTAAATTGTATTATTACATCAATTTTGTTCACCTTTAATATCAGAATTCAAGTATCTAAGTGGGCACAATTTCAGAAATCTTTACAGTACCTCATGAGGAAGGTCAGGGCTACACCTAAATTAACATGGCTAAAGGGAACAGAAGGCTCAAAATGGCATCCCCTTCTTTATATGAGATTTTACAAATACTTAGAATGTGACCTGATCTGCAACCAGATTAGAAATATTTAAACTCAAAAAACAAAAGTATTGGAAGATACTGAGGACAACTTCTGAATAATGTACAGTAGTATATTACATCTGTTAAATGTCATCTAAGGTTGCATGGCACACTGTGAATTAATGGATAGAAAAAGAGCACTCCAAGCTATGCCTGGAAATGGATGTGGTGACTAGTCACTGCTTCCCCAGGTAAGACAGATACTTGATAAAAAACAGAATACTTCCTCAAAAAAAGATAGCAAAAGCACAACATTCTAATACACTTTACGAGATTCTTGTGTCTGGGCAAAACTAGCTATTACAGCAGGGAGCAAATATGCTGTGTGTGGAGGGGAACACACAAATTGTGGCAAACAGGTAACGCCTACACATAATCACACCCTATTAGTTTATACCAATCATGAATACTGGCCTACCATTTCCTAATTCTATAATCAACCACACTCATTTTAAAGCTGCTTAATGTATCTGTCTACAGACACGTTACAAAGAGGACAGGGAAACCCAGCATTTTCCTGATTTTTAATGATCAATTTTAAGTACATAACAAAATGGTTAATACTAAACTCACAAGAACTAAGTCATCGTCTAGTGGATTCCTATACAGTAGTGCAATTTTTGCAACTACTCATTTAAAGTACCCTTTTTATAAAGTAGGATTATGCAGACAGAATTACTACCTAGTCTCTACTCACCTTCCTGCTGACACTTAATCCCAAATGAATGTCACCTAACATGTCATTAGAAAGGGGGGGTGGGGGGTTGTAGTGACAAAAAACCAAGATAAGTTTGTTTTTTGGGGTGGACAATTCATCATCAGTCTACACAGATGACACACACCGAATGTTGTTTCTTCTTAGCATATAATCACAGCCTAATCCTATTTTATTTTTTGAAAAGGAAGGGGTCAGGATTCAAGGTTGGCTGTGAATTGTACTCACCACCTCTGCTTGAAAGTACTTCCCTACGCCCTATGGCAGGTACAATGGGAGCGAAAGTGGGTGGGGTTCTTTAGTCCTCAATAGAAATGCCCTCTCTACATGCTCAGGAACACTCTTCTGCCTTTCCTCCCCTGCCGCAAAGAGGTAATAAAAGCCAACCCTTAATTAAACGAAACCCTTCCTGGCCCCGAAAGGAGACAGCCGGCTTCTTTGGCAATGTTCTCCTCCCTTGACTACAGTAAAAAAATAATCAGACTTCTGGGGGGCCACTCTCCCCCTCCTCCTCTCCCCCAGCCACTAAAGCCCCCCCCACCGCCACCACCACACACACACGAGGAAGCTTATCCCGTTCCCACTCCGCTTTGCGGACGCCACCCACCTTGCTCTTCACTTCCATAGTGCTGAGGCCGCGGCTTCCCCCGCTACCGCCACCTCCTCCACCGCGCTGGACCCGGTTCATGCCGCGCGGGAACCCGTAGGTCGGCTCGGCGGGGCGACGCGAGGGCAAAGAGCGGCAGCGGCTCGCACCTCGGCCG